GATGGGTTTGGAAAGCGCCTGTTTTGGCGGTGGCCCTGATAAGGCAGGCGGTGGCTTTGATGGTGAAAGAGGAGCTCCAGGGGGACCCTGGGCGTTTGGATGACAGCACGGGCACGGAGCTCGTAACGCACTCCCCTCGGGTTATCTAAATAGCGCATAAATCACTGTCAAGGCTGCCATTTCCTCCGACGGGGACCTGTGTAGGTGATTAATAATGCACAAACAGTGGTACTTTGTGGAACTGCAGTAAATTTTATTATAACTTCCTTCCACTTGATAAGCACTTCCACGGAGACGCCCTCTCCCACCCATCCGTCGCTTGCAGAAGCCCCCAGGTTAGGGAGGGCTTTGGCCATTTAATGACCAGCTGCAAGCCATGAAAGAGTGTTTTGGCTCAGTTTTGTTTTCTTTGACTGGATGGAGCCTCTGGTCCCCACCGGTTGATGCTGGGTTGGATCTTGCACACCTGCTGTTTTGAAAGTCCAATCAAGCATCAAGCAGAGTAAAATGCTGTGCAGGGCTGCCCATCCCATGATGTGCTGAGGGGGCTGCAGCGAGAAGAAACGCTGCTTTGCAACAGAGAAAGGCCACAGCTCAGTGCTTGGGGGTTGGCAAGCAATAGGAATGATTGCTAATGCTCTCAGTACTTTGTCCTGTTTTTGAGGATTCAAATATTCTCTAAATATTTACATAGACGTGTGTGTTTGTATACGTGGAATGCTGTTTTTTAAAATGATACGTAATTTGTTTCGAGTGGGAGTATGAGTTACTGGTAGAGGAAGCACAGTGCATAGCATCAACGAGCAGCAATATTTACTGGGGTAAATATTGACCAATCTGCAGTGTGGGACATGGTTGCTGTTGCATTAGGGACTTCTATCAGCTTTATATCAGCAATCAAGAATGACAGCAGCGTGTGGAACAGGCTCGAGCTGGGGCTGTGGCTGTTACAGGCTGAGATGCTCCTGGGGTCCATAGCAAATGCAGCCCATGCAGCTCCACTTACAACCGTGTGGTCCATGAATGAACTTCCTTCCCCTTCTCTTGGCTAAGCACAATCCAAGCGAGTTTCGTGCTCCGCTGTGTGCAGATGGCTGACGGCAGCTGGCACAGTGCCCCGTGGATGCATTGCAATAACACACATTTTATGTGAAGGGAAAAGCCTCTGGAGAAACAAAGCTTTGAACCATTCAGTTCGTAATGGTGCAACGCTGGCAGCAAAAGCTGTGAATGAAAACTTGTGGGACACTGTGCGAGCCAGTTAATCTAGATGGGTTTCCTTATTTTTCTTTCCTAGTAGGCATGAAGTGTAGGTTCAATTTTATTCTGACAGCCAAACATGGGACTGATTGCAGAGCAGCACCCGTGTGCCCACACTTCTGGGCTCTGGTTGTGAATAAAATGGAAATGATGTGGCAAGGCATTTTTGCAATTCTTAGAGCAAATCCAAATGGTTTGTGTGAAAGAGCGGAGGCAAACAGCACCTGAGCTTGCTGGGAACACATCTGCTGTAGGTTGTGCTTGAGCATTCCTGTCCTGAAAGAGGCTGAGCACCTGCTGAGAGCCACTGAAATGAGCTCTGTTGCTGCTGTCATGGTGAGGGTCCACATGGTGCAGGAGCTGTCATCAGCAGCAAGGTGATGGTTCTGGCACCAGCACTGGGTCATGGGTGGGACACCCATCCCAGATTCTTGACATGTCAGTCCACGGCAGTCATTGGTGGGATGTCCACCACAGCTGTGGGTGGGATGCCCATCCCAGATTCTTGACATCTCAGCCCATTGCGCTTGTCAAGAGAAAATGGAAAGTTACAAAGGAACAAAAAAAACCCTTGAAATAAAGAGTAGAGAGGAAGTGGGACTCATCTGGAGGCCCAAAGGCAGGGTGGATGCCCCAGGTTTCCAATGGCATGCAGCAGTCAGAGGGGAAGAGAACATTTTTTCCTGTTGCCTCCATGTAAATGGATTTATGAACATTCAAAACAAATGAACCTTTGGCAAGAGAGATTTCTAGCAAAGTCCAAGCCACAAATATGTTTCAGGGAAAAGGTAGAACATTGATTTTTGTTTTTTGAAAAATAATTTCCCAGAAAATACGAGGGAATTTTCAGCAACTTCTCTGAATGCATTTGTGAAGCCTTTACAGTTTTTGTGGGTTTTTATCCTCCCATCCTAATCTTTACACAACTTAACAGTAACTAGCATTTCTGATGGAGTTCTCACTCAAGAATGTCCACAGGAAGTCAACTCATGAAGACGTATTGCAGAGAAAAATTCCTCAGACAGTTTTACGCTCAGAATTACTCAAAGCCCCACCACAAAATACTGAAAGATCTGCTGAAATTTATTAAAAAAGGAGGGAATCTGAAAGATCATGGAGAAATACGCGTCTGCTGTCCCACAAAAAAGGATTTATGTCTGCAAACAAGAAAGATATGTACTGTAGTGTATTCTGACACGGAACAAAGAAAAGCAAGCAGCCACCAGATCTTCCTCTCACACATCCACATGGAAATTCAGTCCCTCTTTCATAGTTTGGCTTTGAGCCCATGTCCTGTGGTGGATCTTAGGGACTTTGGTCAACACAGCCAGGGGACAACCCCTGTCCTTCATGGGCTACAAGAGACCTCAGCACATGGTGCATCCCCTGCCTGACCTCAGGGGTAGGGAAAGGAGAAGACTGGGGTATTTCCCAGGCAAGGATGTGATTGGAAAGCATCTACACGAGAGGAATGCATGACCTCTCCCCAACTCCTGGTTCTTATATCCACCACACTTTGGGGTTTAAATGCAAACCTCTTCACGTTTTCACTGTTATCATGGCTTTCAGTAAATGCTCTTTTATATTGCGTTGCATCGTTTATATCAAAACCAGATCAGATAAAATTCTCTTTGGCCCTTTTTTTTTATGACTCTTGGTGAATTTCAAAGCACTTCAGGATTACGCAGAGAAAGAAAGGTACTTCCATCCTTTATCTGCAATAGATTCATTCCTGTCACCAAAATGCTTTAAAAAAATAACAAATAAAAGACAAACTAATTCCAGACAAGACAGATGGATGTGATCATTCTGCTTTGGATGTTGCTGAGCCCTTCCGATGTATTTTGAGTGGGTAAAATGCTGAACAAAATGTTGTTTTCACAGAAATACCACGTGTGATTATGTATGTGTATGTATGTATGCCTGTATGTGCGCAAATGTTTTTATGCTCCCATGAAATATTTCAGGCTCTCCCCCAAGACAAAATGATGTGCATCCAGCTGCATCTTTGGGTAGAACTGTATTTCCTAGAGGGAGCAAAGGATCCCCATGGGCACCGGTGCAGGATGTGTTTCCTGACATGCTGTGCTCTACTCCCATCACAGTCAGAGGAGGGCTGCATTAGTCACAGTGTTCCTCAGAGATCATTAAGCAGTGATGACTGGTTGTGCAGAAAAGGTGATGTGTAGGAGTCTGCCAGTTTGGTTTCCTATTAGAGATGGTTTCTTGTACGTCTAAGATGAAGAATCCTGTGTAAATGAGATGGTCTGGATACTTTTGGGGCTTCATTCTCGTCTTCAAAAAGCTTTAGGCAGCAGCCACTGGGACTGTGCACTTTTGGAAATGTGGCCTGTTTTTCAAGCAGTCTTCATTAGGTCTCTTGAAGTCCTACCAGCCTCCAAGTCTAACTGTGGTTTGGAAAGGTCTTGAATCTCAAAGGAAAATGGCCCCATGGTTTGGGAATGGGGGAGTCAATTTAAAGAAAGGGCATTTCATCTTTCTTATTCCAATAAAGCCATTCTCCACTCATCTAGAGTGGGTTTCTGAAGAGGTTTCCATACATTTTACTAGTACAGCTGGGGAAAAGCAAGAAGTATTTTTTATTTCTCAAATTCATCAATTCCATGCTTCTTAAAGATTTTTTTCTTTTTTAATCATTCATTTACAGGAACATTCTCTACTCTGGCTGGCCTTCTGGACCCCATTGTGGGTATTGCTGAGCACAGAATATGCTTCTTTACGGCTTTGGTTTCCTGCTTGCACCTGCTCCAGCATTTGCACTGCTGTGGTTTGCAGTCCTAGGAGAAGTAATTTGCATGAGTCTACTGCAAAGTCTTCACTAACCCTTGTTTCTCATGGAGAATATAACCTCGATTTACCCTTTGCACATGCTGCCACGCTGCTAGAAAATGGGCGACAGACTCAGACTGCTTTTCTTCAGATGTTTTGTTTCTGTCTTTTTAATTGCTCTCTGGTAAAAACTGGCCACTTGCTGCAAAGTAAGAGTTGACAAAATGCACTTGTGGCTGCCAAACCAGCACGGAGTGAACCTCGTCAGCTGTGCTCTGAGTTACCCACAGCAAATCCTCTTGCCCCAAAGATTGCATCACCTCTTTGACACTGTGCAAAAAAGGAGCCAGATCAGATGGGGAAGAGGGAGATCAGCTGAAAGAAAGCTCATTTTCTTGTTGTTAACAGTCATATTTATCATAGTTGGCTCTTGGGGAAGTATTTCTGCATGCTTGTGTGCAGGGGTGTTTGCACAAAGGGGAATATCTATAGATGAACAAAGAGAAACAATACAGAGAACTGGTTGAGTTCTCTGTCCTGTGTTACATTGGAAGAAAGGACATTCCTTTGGAAAGTCCTATTGTACAGAGCAAACAGGAGAATCAAAACAGACTGAAAGCCTTGCAAGGGCTGAACCATTTCTGCTTCTTCAGGACTTGCCCTCCTGCCTTAAATCATCACAGTTTTCAGTATCTTTAACTTAACCAGGGGCTTTAGGTAACATTTAGGCAATCTCCAATATTTTTATTCTGACTGAAATGCCCCCAAAGGTTTTAAAAATCAAAAGAAAACTGCATTTAATTGTATGGCATTTTACCCACATCTCTGAAAGCTGTGCAGTCTCATCCCAGGTGGTGTAAATCAATGGGCTAACGAGGAGAAAGGAACCACACTCATTTAGGTCTCTGCAAACACAGCCTCTACCACATCATGGCTACTAGCAGCTTGGGCTTAGAGGAGGTATGGAGGTTGGGTCTGTTCAAGGCATGGCTTGCAGGTAATTGTGTTCAATTCACTTTATGTTTTTGGACTGAAAGCAGCTTGTTTCTAGTCACAGCATCCAACAGAACATTTTGTGGGAGGTTCAGAGGTGCTGTTTTGTGCCTTTTCAATCTGTTGAGTGTTAGTGATTGTTTACCTGTGACCTCTGCGGCGATGTATTATTTTTTTTTTCTTTTGGTTCTTTGGGATGCTAAAGCATGCACCCCATTATTCCTTCTGCCCCTCTGGAGTGGTGTCTGGAGATGGTACCTCAGTAATGAGGACCATGTGCAGTGTGGGGCTCAGGTGCTGGGGGGGAGCGGCGGTTCTGAGGCGCTGGCACAGCTCGCCCTGTTTGGATAGACCCAGTGGTTTGGACACTCCAATGACATCCATATGCAATGGTTTTCTCAATTCACAATGTTGAAACTAAAAACCCCTTGGCTTTAAACTTTAAGCCTCCCCATACGTTCCCCTGAGAATGAGTGTTTCTGGCAAACTGTAAGTTCTTAAATATCACTTCTCCAATTACATTCTCACAGGTTAGTATTTATGTAGGCCTGGCTTCTCAAATCCACGGTGCTGGTACTGGGCTGAGACTTAATGCATCACAGGTGGCTCTCGGTGCTTTGGGCTCTCTGACCAAACTGGTTCCAGATGGCCACACAGTATGAGTAACAACATCAGCTCATTAAGTTGCAAAGTTTCAACTACAATCACAGAATTATCAATGAAATAAAAGCTAACGGCGTATCGGCTGCACCCTAAGCCACAAATAGGATTTACAGCAAAACAAAAACCTCCTTTTGAACCCAGATCTCTCAGCATTTCGATATAGGGTGTCCACATAATAGTCTTATTCACTAGTGATAAAGCAAAAAAATACAAATAAAAAAAAAAATTGCCCCATGCTCTCCAAAAGGCACTCCTGAAGGCTACTGAACTGCAGTCCTGTGAGCCTCTGATTTTTTTTATTTTTTTTATTTTTATAAAGCTTTTGATTGGGGTCATTGGAAACATAAAGCAGTATTTACCTGTGCTGACTTAGAAAATATCTGGAATGAGCCTAGGTCTTGGATCCAAGGTGTCACAAAGTGACAGAATGCATTATAACCTCATGTTTGAGGTTATGCTTGCATGTGTTATTTGTGTAAATTGTTATCTGTCTGTAATGTGCCTATTATGTTTAGAAGGATGGCTCTTCTAACTTGTACAGGTAGCTTCTGATGCTGGTGTTTGTTGGTCTGGATGTTCTTTCTGTTCAGCAAAATGTTTCTCCAAACTCCTGCAGAGGCTGGGTTGATCGTGCTTCTTTATCTTGTCTCTCAAGGGGAGAATTCTGCATAAAGAATGTAAACAGAGTAGAAAAACATATTTAAGTAATGCCTCTTTGAATTCTCATACTCCTCAAGCCAAGCAGGAGGTGTCAGTACACAAATACAGCAGGGACTGAACAGCAGCTAACGTGGATCCATTTCATTCTCCTTGACTCAGACACCGTTGGCTTTTATTGACTTGCTGAAACCCCCGTTCCTGATTCCTGAAACCACAGTGCAACAAATATTTAGCATCAAGCACACCATTGGCCTCCTTGATTCCAATGGGATTTCTCATGCATGTGAAGTGATGTGCGTATATGAGTGTGATGAAGTGGCCAGGCTGGAGCTGCCATGTGGGATGTGAGCAGAGCCCCTCTGCCATGGTGTGGGCTGGGAAATGTGATGGGGATGTAACAGAGAGGGCTGTGCAGTCCCTTTCTTTGGTTCTGCTAAATCTGACCCCTGTGCTGGGAAACCAGGACTTAATTAGTAGGAGAACCTGAATGACTGAAAGAGGGAGATGTGCAGGTGAAATTCCCATCTACTTCTATCCCAAGGTCTGTTTACTGCAAGCAGCATTGTATATGGGTTGTGTGATAGCTCAAGCATTAGCGTGTTAAGGAAGGTGTGTGCATTTAGCATCCTTCTAGTTAGGATTTAATTATATAGGTGGTTCTCTCTCCATCCTGCAATTGTGAGGGTCTCACAGATGTGCAGTATCACTGCTTCCAGATGTCGACTGCCTTTTCAGAGCACTGGGCACTGACCCAAGGAAGGATTTTGTATTGGGGAATTCTGGCACCGTGTTTCCAGCAATGTGTGCACTGAGGAAATTATTGTGTGTGACTATAATGCAGAGACATCACTGGAGGCTGAGCTTAAGTCCTGGGGCAGGCACAGTGTTGATCAAAAGTCAGGACTGTGGGCAAGCATGGACAAAATAACATGGTGATTTAGGGTGTTTTCTTCTCAAGCCTCTATTATCCATTGTGCTTTTTGAATTGTCGTGTCTCCAAGCTGCACAGGTTTTTACTGAGGGAGCTGGTGTTACTTTGAGACTTGAGGGCTGTGTTCTGACCTACTGCTTTTGACACGCAATTTGGGCAAAGCAATGCGTAAGTCATGGGTTAGTATCTCCAACCTGCCCACGTGGCATCAACTGAAAGAGCACAGGTCAACCCACGAGCCCTAATCCAGGGAGAGCTCTGAGGTGCTTCCTCCAGGGCCTGGGTGCTGAGGGTGGGCACAAACATGGAACTGTGCACTGAGCTGCATCCAGGTGGGGCTTTGTAGGAAGAACCTCTGTCCTGGCTTTTGGGTTGTTTTGGGGAGCTTTGAGAGCAGAGCCCTGACAGAAGGATGTCTAAATGCAGCTTGCACCCTTGGCTCGAGGGTCTCCTGGCTGCCTCTCTGATATGATGCTGAAATACCAGGCTTCTTGGGAACAAGATTACTGCCCACTTGCCCCACCGTAGGAGACCTCAAGAGCTACATGTCCTGGTGGGAAGCCCAGGATGAGATACCATAGGATCAGCACCCTGTTTTGGAACTCTGATCTATGTAAGGATGCTTTTGGGAGCCGAAGGGGGTGGTGTTCAGGTCTCCCCACCTCTTGAAGCAACCATGGGACGTGTGAGCCCGGGTCTCACCCAGGCAGCGCGTGGAGCAGGGTGGTGCTTGAGCATGTCTGCAGAGTGAGGAATGCCAGATCCACCCGCTGTCTCCAGATTCGTCTCCCCAGCCAGGCTCTGGATCTGATTTGGATGCAGAGAGATTTATAAGGCATTCTTTTAATTGGGGGGCCCCTGTAACGTTTCAGCTGAGGAATGAACATGGGGAATGAGGAGACCTAACAGAGAGGCAATGGCAAACAGCAGCCTGGAAGGGAACGTAGAGGGCTAGGGAGACTGGTGGCATGTGCTGTAAAGAAGTAGGGGCAATAAAATGCACCAATAAAAATGATGTGTATGGCCCTAGCCTCATCTAAGAAGAGGGAACAACAGCAGGTCTCTTCTGAGGGCAAATGAGAAAACCCTCCATCTGCAAGCAATTATCAGAAACACATGGGAAAGGTGGACAGGGCAGACGAATCTGAAAGCCATATGATATTGCACAGAAGAGCAAGGCTCATGTAAAGCTTGGGAGTTCATATATTTCACAGCTCACACTGCATGGAGACTTAGACTTCTCTGAAACCATCAAATGGGACAGCTCTTCTCATTTCAGCCTTGAGGTCTGTGTGCAGATGCCCTGAGCTGGGATGAGCTCAGGGCTAGAGGGGCTGGCATGCTGCTGGGAAGGTTGGGAGCCTGTGTGGCTTGGTGCTGCACATTGTAAAACATTTGCAGTTAATCTATGTCACACGTGAAACCAAAGCAGACAGCTGAGCTGGGACAGCAAAAGCAATATAGGTGTGTGACAACTAGTGCTACTGATGTGCTTTTGGGAATTTCCTATCAGTGCAGCATCAGGATGGTATCTGTGGCAGGGATGGGAGCTTCTGAAGCATTGTACATGTCCTCTTATATATATGCATGAAGAAGAGAATTCCCTTTGCTGCAAGGACCATGGTGATGGCTGAAGAATCTTCAGTCATTAAAGTTGGAGCAGACCTCCAAGATCATTTAGTCTACCCATCATCACTGTGTTCCCTAAATCATGTCCTTTGATCTGCCTTTCTGCTGTCTGGAGACTAGGTAAGTAGTTTTTGTCTTGGCCTTTCCATGCTGACTTGTTCCTTTCTCTTGGAAAGGAGAGGGCCTGGGGGCCATCCCTCTCTGCACTGTGCTGCTGGTGCTTTTGTTCTCAGTATGTATTCTTGATAGTTAGAGATGCTGCCCCAAAGGCAGAGGGCATACTTGCTCACAAGGGAATCCTGAAAGATTGCTGCTAGTCATATGCACCAGCAGGGTGAGCAAGCAGCAGAAGCAAAGCAGCGTGGCTGGACGGAGGGGCTGGTCTCATTGCTTCTGTGTAAATGTAAATGCATAGAAATACTTCAAAATGCAGGAGCAGGACACTTAGGCACCTGACCATCTGAAGAAAGGAACAGGGCAGGACTGAACGGTCAGGGATAAGCAAGACTCCAGCTAAGTTGGATCTAGGGCAAAGGATTGGATGAGCAGTGTTAGCTGTCGAGATCACTTCCCTAAGCCTCCAGGACTGGTGAACCCTATGGATTGCAGCCCCTGTACAGAGCTGTTGTGCTGGGACCATTTGGTGCTATGAAACACAGAGCAGATGCTGTCTGCTGTGACCTAACCTTCCAGGCTGGCTCAGCTGGGCATGTCTGTTCTTGGCTGCTGATCTGAACCAGCTCCTTGATCTGCTCTTCATCCACTTGTGAAGAATGTGCTTCTGACCAGATGGATGCCATCAGTTCACTGACTTGGATGTATTTAACTTCTGTTCAGTGCGTGCCCAAACTTGAACCAGCCCAACAGTGCCCTAGATCAGGCTACCATGTAGGTTTGTTCACCAAATGCTTCATGTTGCAAACGCAGGGAAGTTCCCTTTGCCTCCTGAATGAGTTCCTGGCCATTAACGTGGCTGTGGGTTTTGAACTAAGCAAGCAGATGTTTTTGTGCTCTGCAGATCACCTTTGCTGCACGGGATGGTGCTTATGCCTCATTGGGCAGGGATGTGTTCAGCCTCGGTGCATGTGCTCTGCTCCACCTCACCAAGCACTGGAAGTAGAAGCTCTGCAGGGTTGCATTGCAGAAGGGGCAGCTTTGCCAGTATGAAGAACTTGTTCAGAGCCTGCTTTCATCTGTGTGTTATCAGAACTATTAAGGTGAGGCTAGAGCTCTCCAGGCCTCATTGGACAATGACCCCAGCATCCCCCTCAATTCCAAGCACTGAACAACTGAAAAACAAAAGCCAGCCCCCTAAACTCCTGAAAACCCTAGAGTATCCATCACTGCCATACATAATCACAGTTAGAAATCCAAATGAAGTCTGCAGCCTGTCAGCTCTGCAGACAGATTTGGTGGTGATATGAGCAAAGCCAACATTTAAAAATGACTGAATTCTCATTATAAAGATACATGATCCTCCTTCTCATTGAGAACAGTTGGGCTTTGCTTCCAGTGGAGAGCCAAGCCATTTATTTTATAGCTCCATTGTACGCTGCACTGGGAATTGTTCCTGCAGATAGAGGTTTCTAGCATGTTTTTCCTATGTACTTTATTCTACATGCACTGTGCCCTTTGCACATGCTGAGGGCTCTCACATGAATTACACTTTGCCTGATTTGGTTGGATGGGTTTCCTACATTTGTGTCCTATAAATTGGCATGGTGATGTATTTATTTTGGTAATCAACCAGTTCTTTGTAAATCTGTGAGCTTAATCCTCCAAGAGAGAGAAATAAAAGGCTCAGTCTCTTTTTCTAACAATGAAGATAAATACTTTTATTTTCATAACTCTTGGACATCTTTTTTTTTCCATGGCATTCTCCCAAATCATGAGGTCCTTGCTCACTCAAGAGAACACAGATGTCTTTAAGTCCTTCACCAGGCTTGTTAGGGCATGGAAAATATCTTCGAGAGGAAAGATGGTGTGGTGGTTTTGCTATTGAGTGAGAACTTAGTTTGACTAGGCTAACTTCTTGCCTCTGCTGTGTATTTCCAACATGACCCTGCATCACCTCTCTTGCTACTTCTGCTCCCCAAAATCTCCTGCTGTTGAGCACGTAAATCTCATTGGTGCAGGGCCCTCTCACTGCAGGTTGGTGCATGCAGGAATTCCAGCTGAGGCTGTGAAGTGTACTGGAGGCAATGCAGGCAGGAGAGCAGCAATGGCCTTTTGGCTCTGTCTGTGGGTCAGGACTCGCTCCACACTGCTCAGAGTGCTGGGATATAAGCCAGAAGCCACCTGAGCTCAGTAATGCACAGCCATGCCCATAACATTGTCTGCTCTCACCTTGTTAGTGGCGTCACTGTTGTATGCCAGCTTGGATACTGGTTGTGGTAAAGGCAGCTCACAGTTGTGCCTCTCTGGCGGTGGGGCCTGATGGTAAGGGTTCTAAGTCACTGTGAGGGATGTTGAGGTTGGGTCTTTTTTAAAAAAAAAAAAAAAAAAAAAAAAAAAAAAAAAAAAAAAAAAAATCACAGGAGTAGTAATAAGTTCTATAATGTATTGGAACAAACTGTCCAGGGAGTGGTGGAGTCGCATTCTGTCTTGGTGTTCAAAGACCATGGAGATGTGACACTGGGAGACATGACTAGTGGGCATGGTGGGGTGGGTTGGGGTTTGACTTGATGATATTGGTTATTTTTCTCAACCTTAATGATTTTGTGGGGAGCTGAAAGAATCAAAATGGAGTCTGTTGCTCCTTCCAACAGCTTGTCCTTTTCCAGGTGCTCCTAATCTAGCACCATCCCTCATCTGCTGACTCTCGGTGCTTTGGTTGAGACAAGCTATACGAGCATCCGGGTTTCGCTCATATCAGCCTGGGTGCTCAGAAGACTTTCCTCTTGTATTTCAAACAGTTCTGGGAAAATGGGCATGGAGGCTGAGTGCTTGAGCAATGCAGTGTGCAGGGAGCTGGCTTCCACGTGAGAGGTGATGCTGGCTGGGAGTTGGCGGAGGCTGCAAGCACAAGCTTGGGTCACTTGGCTCATCTCACGAGGTGGTATAATACATCAGGCATGTTGGTTGATGTGGTGTTACTGACTGCAGTGTGATAAGGATCTCCACATGCTTCTGCCCACCCTCCATTTTTTTTTTTCCCCCTGGTTGGAGGGAAAATTGCACAGCAGTGGCCAGTGGGAAGGTGAGGGATAGTGCAACCCTGCTCTGCTGCCATCTGGGTCAGGAGCCTGATGCAAGGAAAAACGTGCACAATTTCTACTTGGCAGAGTTCCTCTCCGTGCTCCCCCTCATGCTCACAACTCTATTTGTTATTCTAATATGCCCACAACCAAAGTGTGAGCTGCAGACTTGTAGTGGGGAGAGAGTCCCAGTGCGTGTTAAATATTCACTTAACTGAAGTGATACTGTGTGTGTGTGTGTGTGTGTGTGTGTCAACCAAGCTTTGCAGTACAGTGCAGGGATGACATGATCAAGGGTTGGAGCACAGTGAGAGTCTCCTGCTGGATCTTCAGTTGATGTCCAAGTGCTTGTAGTCTGCTGGTGCTCATCGCCTCTGACCTCTATTGCCTGTGGTGGGAGCTGTGATTGATCTTGGAGTTGGGCATAATATGGCTATGATGAGCAGCTTACAACCTCTCTAGTCCTACCTTCACTCTAGTTAAAGGTGTTCATCGTGGTGCTTCCATGACTAGCTAGGCTTTCATCTGACAGCTGGTTTAAAAACCAACCCTTGAGACTTGAACTGTGGCTACCATCACTCTGGCTGTAGCATATGCTTTGTTTCTGGGAGGTTCACAAACCTAAAAATCATCCCTTTCTCTATGCCTCTTTCAAGATTTTTTTGTGCTGCCAGTAATTTGGGAGAAATTTTGTAACTTGGGGGATGGGGGAAAGAAGTTCATAGGAAGGCAAGTGTTTCCTGAGTGACTGTTTCCATGCAAAAAGAAATGATGTTCCTCTTTTTTCTAGACCAGGCTTTACCATGAAAGCACTATGTCGGCCATAAATCTTAAGGCCGCTTAATTCCTATAAAATTCTGCCAGGAGGATCAAATGATTTTACTACCCCATGTCAAATTAATAGCTGGGTGTCAACCAGTGTCACTTCCTGCTTGAAAAATGACCATCGTGTTAAGCAGGTTTTATTTATGATTTTCTGCCTGATGATCACAAGTAGTAAAAGTACTAAAAGTGAACTGTGAATGTGAGGAAGAGTCAGTGCTCACTTCATTAATAGCATCATCACCAGTTCTTTCTGGAGTCAGCCCATGGTGATGCCCACACTGTAGAACAAGGCGTTCTCACTGGACAAGTGCTGAATTTATTTCTCCTTTTATGCATGGTTGCTACCCAGGAGAGACTGTCCTCCTATCCATTGGCTTGCTAGAGGCATGACCTGACTGAAATTGCCTCTGCCTTCCTCCATCCAGCCTATGCGAGCAGATGGAAACAGCAGCTGCCAAGCACACCACACCTCCCAGCCTGCAATAACAATCACACATCACCTCACCTCTGGCCCACAGTAAGTGTCTGGAGAACTTTTCTTTTGCTGGTTGCCCCTTGTTTGAGCTTATTCTCTTTGGCTTGACCCATAGCTGGGGACTTGGCTTTCGGTGCAGTGGTGAAATGCATTAATAGAGGCCAGGCGAGGACGTGACGATTGGCAGCTTGAAAGAAGTTTGCTTTCTGAGTCAGCTCTCAACTTCTGTAGCACTACCAGCGCTAGGACTTGCTGCTGTTTCTCCTGTTGCCCTGGCTATAGTCCTTTTCCCTGAGCCCAGCTATTTCCACTGTATATTTTGAAAAGAGCTGGAATGTTCCACTCAGTTTTCCAAAATCTGAGTATCATTCCTCATTGCCCTCCCTAACACTTAAGAGTCAGCCCTGGATATGCTACAGGTTATTTTTATCCATCCTAAATTTTCATGATCCACCCAATCTGGCCCAGGCACTTGCAGTTGGGTCAGCAGCCCTGCATCCACGCCCTCTGGGAGGTGTCCAAGAGATGCAATGGAGAGGGTCTAAAAGTATAAGAACCCTTCTGTCTCAGCTGAATTAAGAAGGGAAGTGGCCAGTGTAGAAGTTGGGTCCTAGGGAAGCCCATTGTGGTTCTTCTTTGACAATCTCCTTACGAGGGAAAGCAAATCTTGTAGAGAAGTGACATGGAAAAAGTCTGTACACAGTTTCAGCTGGGAATCAGGGTTGGGACATGCTCCAGCTAGCATGTTCCTTGCTGAAACCATCAGCCTTTACCTCATCTGAGCAGGACAGCGTGCCCTTCCTATCTTTTTCTGCCTTTCATCTGTTGTTCCCAGGTCAGCATCAGCACCAAGGCGGTCCCTGAGAATTGAAGGCTTGATTATGACCATGCATCATGAGATGCAACTGTGTTCAGCTTAAATAATTCTTCCTGCAGAATAAGGAAGAAAGAAAAACAAGGAGGGGGGATAGGGGTGCCCTTACGGTGCAGAATTATCTGTTCTATGCTCCATCTTCTGAGCTTCCTTTTCCTTTATGATCTTTACGCTCATAACTAGGGCAGTTTTGACATGCAATCAATCAGCCGACCACTGAGCCGAGGAGTGTCTACCACGTTACTAATCCCCAGTAATTACCAGGGGACCAGTCACAGAGTGAACCATGAGGCTGACTCAGTTTGATTTACTTCGTTGCTCTCTTCAGCCCAGATGTTCGGAGATGCACAGGTTTTTGTGCCAAAGAATAGCCCATTTGCAACAAGCAGCCATTAGGTGCTAATATCCGTTTGCCACAGGTTTGGCAACGTGAGCCATGCTTACACAGGAACTGCAGCTGCAGGATATGAACATCTGAAAGCACTGTTAGAACATAAGAAAAAGAAAACAGCTCAGACGCATGACCTCAGGGCCAGCGTTTTATTAAAAATATATATTAATGCTGCTCCCTCTGATAAAGAACTTATTTAGGCCTTGCTTAAATTGAAACCTAACCTATTGCTTAGAACTACTGTATCTTCCTACCCAGGGGTTTATTTTGTCACTGGGCCAAATACAAAGTCATGTAGTTAGAAGTCTTTGGCACCTGCCTGCACATTTGCATCTGGGAAGAAAATACTTTTGTGCCTTTCTCTCTCTTCCTCAGTATGCAGTTGGTTTGCAGAGCCAAAGCTACCCCTAGGGCTCGCTTCTCGTATTTGCTCTCAGAACAAATTGATTTCCAAGCCACCAAGCATTGAGATGGCTGTGGGGATTGAAGCCTGGTTGGCTGTTTCTGATGATAGTCTGTGAAATTCAAGTGTGACAAAGCATTCAGGAGGATGCTTAATTATATTACAAGGTGTGAGGAACTTGGAACCGTAGTATGGAGACTGCTGTAGAGAAGATTATTGTGCCTCAAATTTTCCAGCATGGTGAGCTTATAAAACATAAGTTTTCTTTATTTTGTACCATTTACATGTTATAATTATGTTTTAGCTCACACTTCTAAATGTATAAAAAGCCTTAATATTTTATAACCTTACTGAACTGGAAAGTTTGAGGCATGAGCATTTCACAGTGATGACAGTTTGATGCATTGATTTTTATTTTGCTTTATTTCTGGGGGGGTTGATCAAATGCCCTTGTCAAAATTCCTTAAGAGCATCTCACCCATATCCAAGTTTTTATACTCAAAGTCTTATTCAAGACCTTAAAAAAGACTTTAACTCATTCACAAAAGTTGTGTTGGTCTTATAATGAGTGGATTTACCCAAGCTTTGTAACAGTAATAATAAACAATTCTTAATGACATCAATGTGTTATTTCTGATGGCTTTCCCCTGGGATTCAACCATGTTACAAAGGAAGCTGGTGTCATTCTGTTTTAAAGATAAAACACACCCAGCTTACCAGCAGGGATGTTAATTAGACTTAGGACATCCATATTTAATCTTCTTGCTTTTATCCTTTTCCTACATGTGAAATATTTAATGACATGTGGAAGCAAATTAGTTGAACATCTGTTCCATGCTGGCCTCATCCAACCCCACCCCTCATTCAGTGTGTGGGAGGATTTGGGGGTGAAATTAGCTGTGAAAGGGGCAGATATAAAAATAGAGCGGGGTCCTCCTCTGCTGTTGGTTCTAGACAGGGTTCATCTTCACTATAAATAGTGGGTTTGGCTTGAGATCTCCCAAGCTAAGTTTCCTGAGTGCTTCTCTTCCCATCCTAGCAGTAATCTGAAGAAGATGTTGTAAACTGGAGTTGTGCTGTGGAGGTTGGAAAAGGCCACTAAGGTCATCGCATCCAACCAGCAACTCATCACCACTATGGCCACTAAACCACATTGCTCAGTGCCACAGTTCCTTTACTGTCCTGGGCAGTAAATCCATTCCCAGGTGTTTTCCATGCAGTTCTCTTCCACAGCCAGCTTCAAAAGTAAAGGTAGCATGGGTCTTCCAGAGCTCACAGGAGCACCTCCAGGTGTTGGTACAGCAATGCTGAGTAGGTAGCTTGAGGAAATTGATGAGCAGGGACAATGCTGCTGCAATATGGGCATTTAACCAAGAGACAGAACGGCCTCTGTTTTAGAGGAGGCTCATGATGGTGTCTTCTGGACTTGAAATGAGAAGTGCTTGCATCTGGCAAGTTGTCCTCAGAATGGTAAAGCAATCATCTTGCCTGGAACAGGCCTTTGAAGTGCGCTGGTCTCACTCTTGCCAACGTGTAACTTGGCATAGCTGAGCTGCTTGGGCACAGATTTCTACTCCTGAATGGAAAGTGGGGGCCAGGTGTGATCTGCAGCCTGCCCAGCAGTGCTTGATGGCAAGCTGTGCCTGGGGGTGACTTGCCAGCCTGCTGCAAGAAGCTGTAAGTCACACATCCATAACTGCATGGAAATGGCTGGGCAAATACTTTGAAAGACAGAAACACTTTAGAAACCACTGCTGTGTGAGTCACACGTGCATGGAAAAAGGTGAACCAACAAGTTCTCCCTGGCAAGCCATTTGCTGACCATTCCTTGTCCTGGCAGCACCGCTCCCTTTCCTCCTTCCCCCTTCTCTTATCTGCTTGCTTTTAAACCTTGCTGTTCAAAGTTTCCAAATTGATTTCTTTTTCTTTTTTTTTTTTCCTCCCCCCATCCCAAATTTCTAATGTCAATAAATACTTCAAAGGTAGAGAGAACTCGCATGCCAGCTCCTAGCCTAGAGCTTACTTTTACAGCTCTGCAATAAACCCCTCTAAAAAAATGTTTATAATGGCCATGACCGTGGTACTTAACTATTGCAGTGCTCTCTATCACCCTCATAATGTTAAGTGCCAATAAATCACCTGAGCTGTCATGGCATCCTGTATTTATTTACAAAGCCCTTGGAGGAGTATTTTTTCAGTTTTCTTGACTAAGGGGAACAAAAGCTGGAGGCTCTCTTTCTCACAGAGGAAAGCAGATGAAATGTTGCCCGACCCTCCAGCTGGTCTCCTGTACCCCAGGTAGGCTGAGGGCTGCAGCACTGCTATTTTTGGAGGGGTTTCACAGGGGATCCAGTGCTGAGCAGTGGCTGCTCAGTGGTTGTGGATGTTGCTTAAGCTGTGCTCAGGGCTGAGTCTGTGGCCAAAAATGAGTTTTGTGGGATGGCACAAGCATGCATTAAAGCCTGAGGCATGAAGCGAAGGCTTCTGCTTGTAGGAGCTGCTCCAAAACCATTCAGGCTCTGCTTATAGTTGGATCTAGCTCCGGGTTTTGATCTGGCCCTCCTAGACTCAACCATCTCCCTCTTTTGCGGACAGTGTTTGCTCTTTAGTCTATTGAGTGTTCACAGAATTTCACCTGCTGAGATGCAAAGGAAATGAAACCATGAAATACAACTTATCCTTCATCATAAACACTTGGTTTCCTGTGTGCTACCATCTCTCCTCTAGAGGCTTTTGGAGGCAACTCCCTATCAAAATGTAGGATGGAGAAATCCAGTGTTAGAACACTTGGTATGAGCACAGATGCAGTCTTGGTTTAAAATTAGTGCCTTAAAGAAACAAACTGTTTACTCAAAAAAAAGTAAACACAGTGAGTTTCCCAACTGTATCAATAACCCGGGGGCAAAATGGGTTTTGAGGCAGAAATGGGACATAAAGGTTTAACTGTTGGGACTCAGAGTCAATATGAGAAATAAAAGGCCATATAGCTTTGAAAGCCACCTGCCTCCTCTTGGAGCACATTGTGAAGATCCTCATGGCACACAGCAGTAGAAGAAGCTGCTGGCTCTGAGTGTATCACCTGGTTGGAATTTTTCACGGAGCTTGAACTTATTAGAAAACAGCCCCAGTCAAGCAGAACTGTGCAAATTAAATTGGATTTACATGATGAGGTGGAGCCTGAGCACAGCAGCTAGGAAATGCCTGGGAAGAAAAAGACAAACCAGGGGGGAGCAGGGCTGCTCTGAGTAAACAGCGCTTTTAAAAATAATAATAATATAGATATAAAAGAAGTTGAACTAACAGTAATAAAATTAAAACTCCTGCTTTAGCTGCCCTGGGGGAGGGATTCGAAGTGAGACACTGAAGGAGAGAAATATGAAAGGAAATAAACAGATTTCAGCTCATAATAAGCAGGAGGCTGGGATATTGTAGGATAAAGTGTTCTGGGATGGTGTGAGCTGACCTGGAGCATGTTCCTGTTGTGAGGAAGGGTGAAGACTTAGTCTTCAGCCCTTTGGAAGCCTGTAGGATTTAATCTATTTGCTTCAGAAGACTTTGGGAGAAGCCTGAGCTACTAGAATATGTTAGGAGCTTTGTGTTCTTTTCTCTTTAAGGAATATGCCTGATAGGTTGTGTTCCCGCCTATTATCTTATCAAAATATGGTTTCTTCATCAGCAACATGTAGGTTTCGTTCTCTGAATCTGTGAATTCTGAATTGCTTCCATATGCAAGATATTTCATTGGAGAGACCCTCCGCTTTGGGAGCATCATTACTGCCCAGTGTAATCTTCTGTGACTCATAACGTAAACCCAAAGTTATTGCAATTTATTAGCAATCACAATTTGCCAGGAAAATAGCATCAAGAGTGTATCAGAGCAAGTAACTCAATTGCAAAATGAGCATGTCCTCTATTGCAGTCTGAACCCATTAATGTTGACTTTCCAAATCCAAAGAGTGATTTCCTCTTGGGCCCGTTAATAATGTGGTGCAGTATGCTTTCCATTGAAGGAAGCAACAGGATTTTATTGAATATATGGAAAGGAATTGGTTTTCTGCCTTGTTACTTAACAGCTGATCCTTACTGTCAACATTGGTGATGAGTCAACCTCAAGAAATAATGCAAGAAATTAAGCCAAAGGCTTAATCTGGTGCCACTGTGATTTGTGGGGTAATGCTGGGGAGAGGAGGTGGTGGCTGTGCTGG